GTGGTCAGGTTTGCTGATGTGCCGATGCCTTGGATGAAGAAGGCTAGCCATAAGCGTATGCATGCGGGCTGCGCTGGGCTCATTCGTACCAGCTTGCCCTCTATGTGAATGGGCAAAGTGAAAGCTCACCTGCGTGTTGAACAAGCGATCGACGACCGCGGCCATGTTCTTCGGCTCGGTAATCATGTGTTGGACGCGTCAGCACATCTTGCTGTCTCCACTCACACTACCGCCGATTCGGCGCATCTAGCGCTGCTGGACCAGCAGATGTCCGTGGCTCGCTCGGTGGGTTTGTCGACGGCGGAACTTCTCCCAGAATGGCCGCCGCTTCCCCTGGGGGAAGACGTGCTCAGATAGTGCGGAGCGGGCCCCAGGAGGAAGCCTGCCACGCAACACTCGAGTAAGCAGATATCAAACTTCTGGAAGTAACATACCTGCTTGGTTGTCTCTCACGGGCCCAGGGCCCCCGAAAAATACGCGGGGTGCGGTCGGTGGAATGGTTTGACCCCAGCCGCCTGGGTCATGTTCGGGGAGGCCCAAACTGGACCCCTAGGTTATTCGAGGCGCGAGATCATCGGTGGATCGCACCAGAGGTTTCTGAATTGTCTCGTCCGAGTTGCAAAACCAACAGTTGCCACGATCGGGCCAAGAACCTTTCAGAGCCTTTCGAGACTGCCCCGCAGAGTGCGGGAGTCAAGTCTGCTTGGACTCGTATAGCCCATAGGCATCACCCTAAGCGTGATGACTTCACGGTCGAGCGCGGGCCGCGGTCTCAGTGATCACGGTTCGGTCAGGCTGCACGGCCCAATGTGTCGTGGTGCAGCCTTGCACACATCAGTGATGGATGGCCTGTCGTTGGCGGAAAGATCCTCGCGTTCATCTGGAAACCTCCACGAACCTCTGGAAGCCTCCGAAATCGTCCGAAGTCCTCCAAGAGTATCCGAACTTCCCTTCTTGCCGCTACTCCTCCACTCCTCCAGCTTATCGTAAGCATTACCACCACCATCATCCGCATGACCCTGTTCTCATCGCAAGTAACTCATCCTCATCGGCTTCCTCGTCTTCCTCCTCCTCCTCCTCCTCCTCCTCCTCCTCATCATCATCATCATCATCAGCATCATCATCATCATGACCAGCATCGTCCTCATCATCAGCAGCATCAGCCTCCTCATCATCGTCAACGTCGTCGTCATCTGCGTCGTCGTCATCATCAGCATGCTATTCATCATCAGCAGCAGTACCATCATCAGCATCGGCATCAGTAGCTTCATAATCATCAGCAGCATCAGCATCAGCATATTCATAATCATCAGCACCATCATCGTAATCATCAGCATCATCAGTACCCTCATCATTATCATCAGCATCATCAGCCTCATCATCAGCAGTATCATCATCATCCTCATCAAAACCATCATCATCATCATCATCATCATCATCATCATCATCATCATCATCATCGTCATCCGCATCAGCTTCATCATCATCATCAGAATCATCATCGTCATACTCCGTACCATCAGCATCAGCACAATCAGCAGCAGCAGTATCATCATAACCACAACCAGCATCGTCAACATCATCGGTCTCGTCACCATCATCAGCATCAATATCATCATCGTCGTCGTGAGCGTCATCGTCATCGTCATCGGCATCGTCGTCATCGTCATCGGCATCGCCATCCTCGTGGTCGTCGTCATCATCGTCATCGTCATCGTCGTCGTCGCCGTCATCGTCATCGTATCATGGTCATCGTCCACATCGTCATCGCCATGTAACGCTTCCTAACCAGCAGCATCACCACTGTTAACAGAAGCAGCATCCTCACCATCAGCATTGGCAGCCTCATCCTAAACATCCACCCTCACTGTCATCATCGGTAGTGTCCTATCATCCTCGTCATCACCTTCGTCCTCGACCTCGTGCTCTGCCTGATCATGATTATAATCAGCAGCAGCATCAGCATCAGCAGCCGCAGCAGCAGTATCACCCTCATCATCATGATCGTTATCATGCACATCAGCAGCATCATCATCAGCATCAGCATCAGCATTAGCATCAGCATTAGCATCAGCATCATCATCATCATCATCATCATTGTAATCATCATCATCCTTATCATCAGAAGCAGCATCATCATCACCACCACCACCACCACCATCATCATCATCATCAGCATCATCAGCATCATCATCATCATCATCATCATCATCATCATCATCATCATCATCATCATATGTGATCCCCCTCATGCTGCTGATGGCGCCTCGCTGGAGGAGGCAGCAAGGGGCAGGGAAAGAGGCGCCGACAGCGCATCTTGGCGACGCGTCGGGGGGGCCTCCTCCCGGTTGTGGTGCTGCTGCTCGCAGAAGACGCGCCTGCAGAGAGCGGAGGCAGGATTCCGAGCCGAATTCGGATTCGGAACGCCGCGAAGCCACATCAATTTCTTCGGAGCAAGACCTCACAAGAAGCGTAAGAGATACTCCTTCCTCTTCTGCTTGATCTGGAGGGGAGGAGGAGGGGAAGGGGAAGGCAAAGCATAGAAAGAGACCACGTGTACCAAAATCAGCGTTATAATGAATCAACATACGGCTGGCCTTAGGACAGAAGAACATCCTTCAAAAACATGAGACCCTCCACGGGCCAAACTGAAGAACATTCGAGGGTACCCTGCCCCAGGATGCACAAGAAAATCAAATTAACACGAAGAACATGACGGTGCATTCCCCGAACCGACCTCAATCGTATACCTCGGTCCGACCGTACGTACATCTGACCAGATCTGCTTAAAAAAACTCACCAGCACCTCACATTTTCAACACACCAAGGATTCGTTAATATTTTGGTTGGGGTATGATGGGTCCGGGTAGGGATCGGGCAGAGCTCGGGTAAGATTTTGGCGAATGCAAGACACAAGTATGGTAGATGGGAACGGTTTGTGACGGCGTGTGATTCTGGTACAGCTCGAACTAGATTCTGGTAAGGCTCCAGTCTGTCGTTGGCACGACTATCGTGCTGTTTGTGGTCGGGCTCCAATGGTATTATGATGATCCCGGCCCCCCTCGACACTCCACCTCAGAAGCTACGAGAAGTGAGGTCACTTGGTCAAAAACTCCAAACAACAAGGAAACTACCACTGGCACCCACCACACTGGCCACCAGCCATCTTACCAGTACCTCACCACAGCTCTACCAGGACCCCGCCAACAGCATGTCAGCACCCTGCCAGCCTTCAGAACGTAACCGTGCAGTTCCACTGCCCTGCTGGCTCTCTAAAATTCTTGGTCGGCGGGACGAAAGCGAACCTCTTCCGCTAACAGCTACGCGGGCTACGCACAGTTTTAATTAGGGAGACAGGGCATAGGACGGCGGGTACTGGCTTTTTTACAAGCATGGCACGCCAGCAGCATTGCGTGACATCGTTGTGAATGGTCCAGCTGTCGCGCGTGTGTTTTGCTCCCCGGGGCGTGGCTCCCTGGACGAAGAGAAGAGGCACAGCACCTAGAAATACACACTGTGCAGACGCGGTCCCGCGTCAAACATGCAAAGCGGCCCTGGGCACTCAGCCACTGGGACCACACCGCCCACTGTTTCCAACGACGCCCTGTCCGCCCGCTTGATGCGGGGTCCACTCTTGCACCATGCAGAGTACCGCGTTGCGCGATGATGCTTCTCGGATGATCGAATCAACGTTTGGGCAAAACTATCGCTAGGGCACCGCGGAATGTCTTTGTGAAGCAACCCGTGGCCCACGCATCACATGTCCTGTGCCACTTGCGCTGCGAAGCCCATGGGTGCACGCGGTGCCGAAGTGGATGTGCAGGAGCAGGTGCGCCGCGGACTGGTACTGGGGACGAAGTCCTGGAGGGTGAAGGAGAAGGTGTTGCCGTCGACGGCGCATCGCGAACACCAGCCTCAAGCGCTGCAGAGGAAGACGTGCCACTTGACCAGGTCGACGCCCAGGAAGAAGAGAAGCACCACGAAGGCGATGTGCAACGTTGTGCCACCGGGTGATGCGGAAGAGGCCCGGGGTGGTAGTCCAATCCACGACCAGGTAGCAGCTTGCTTGAGGAGCGGCCACATACGAGGGGGCCGCTCATGACCGACAGGATGTCGGTGGACTGCAGGGAGAAAACCTGCCCTGCACCTCCAGCGCGTGAAAACGGGCAGCAGCCAACCAACAACATACAAACAAACACAACCAAAAAACGACGACGCAGTCGAAAAGCGGGGAGGAGACGGAAGGATACGCCAAAGGGAGTGGAGGAGGAGCGGGGGAAGGAGCTGGGATCAGGGATGGAGGGAGGGAGCGCAACGGGAGGGACCAGGGACGCGGGAGCGCAGGGACGGCAGTGCGGGGACAGGGGAGCAGCGCCGCAGGTTCGGCCAGCACCGAACCGAGAAATCGGCTCGGACTGGGATGCGCGTCGATGGGACCGCATCGGCACGGAGTCGACGTCGAACCAGATCGGCTGCGCCAGGACGCAGAACAACGTCACGCAGGCATCGGGCTGCATCGGATCGCCGGACTGCCTGGGTCGAATCGGATCGGGCTGGCCAAAAACGCTACCGAATCGGATCGATCGGATCGACTTGGACGCCTGGCAGCGGCGGGAACGCCTGTGCAAGGGGTGCGACAGGTTCGCGTCGTGACGACCTGCGCACTGGTCTCCGCGATACCGCGCGGATCGCTCGGCCTGGACAGCGATCACGGCTCTCCGACAGCCAGGACCGTTCGATGTCGCTCGGTTCCGGACGTTCAACCTGGGACTCGCCACGGGGTCGACACGGCGCGAACCTGCCATCAAGGGGACGCATGGCAGAGCGATTCCACAACTGGCCGCAGGGGCCTCGAGAGGGCGAGCCAACGACCCGGACCTGCTCAAGAAGGGTCGGCCTCTGGAACTTCTTCCGAATGACTGCTCGGCCTTCGCTGCTGAAGGAAGAGAACAAGTCCACCCCAGCCCCACTACGGGTAGTGAAACTGTGCGTCAGCACCAGGGACCCATTTGCACTGATATGAGCTGAACTTCTACCTCTGTTTCTCCACTGGGCAGCGGTTCGGGCTGCGGGTGGCCTAAAGAACGCCTGAGGAGGGGACTCTCCGCAGCAAACGCCACGGCAGACAGCTACTTCCTCAGGGCGTCTTCTCGAGTGCAGCCTGGACAAACCCGCGCTGAATGGCAGCACCGACCTCTGGAACGAGCGCTTGCACTCAGGGTCCCGCAGCTCTGTCCTCGAACACCCAGCGTCGCGATCTGTGCCGCCCGCGGCTCCGAAGAAGGATGGCGGCCTCGGACTCTTGGCCGCTGTGGCTGGGTGCGCGCTTCCAGAGAGATCCACAGAGAACCTGGAGGGCGGGGACCCTCCCTGTGTGCGTCTCTGTCTTTTGTGAGGTCCAGCGCCCTTGGTCAGGTTGTCACAATGAGATGACATGTGAACACCGCGGGTGGTGCACTCACTTACTGAGGCTCTTCTGAAGGATTAGTAAGCCGGCCATTAGCCCTTGCAACTCCGTGTCGAAAGCCGATCGCGCATTCGCATGTATAGGCTAGCAGACTCCGCTCCAAATGGCCGCCTTGCGACATACGGAAAGCAAGCAATTGCACGCCAAACCCTCCACCGACTCCTGGCACGCCACACCATCCAACGACTCCTGATAGCCGATTGAATCCCGTTCCAGCGGCGTGACCCATGCCTCTGCAAGATCTGCGGGCGGCCCTTGGATCCAAGAGCCCTTGCGGCGCGATACCTGGTGGCCCGGTCTCCCGAGGCGCTGGCAGCGCGCTTATACGGCAGCGGCCCCCAGCGCCACTTTGCCCGAAAGTTCCGAGCTGAGGTAAGCCGAGGCAAGATCGGACGAGGCAAGCCGAGACAAACCCTAGTTCGCGAAGGCAATAATGTTGACTTGTATGGCCTTGCAGCTCTGGTGCACTGCATCCCAGCTTCCAAAATTAACTCAAATACGGGACGCGTGCCTCCCTCTGCTCGCAAACCTGCATTCGGATGATCAAACGATGAGTTTGCGACGCGAAACAAGAATGGGACAAAGAACATACGCAGGTGATAGAACGGCTAGATCAGTAGAGCTGGTTGGAGTTTGTCCTAATCGGCCTGACGGTCAAGGGGTCCAGCATCTGCTGCTCGTACTCTGTCCTCTGGAGCTTCTGCCAGAGCATCTCCAAACCACGTTCCAAGCTTTTGTAGGTCACTGCGGGAGAGCTCAGATCGCAAATGCGGTCGTAAATTCGCAGCCAAACGGTCCACTAGGAAAGCTACACGGGTGACCAGCGGCAAAGAATAGAAATTGTCCCAACCTTTGAAACGGATTCGATCTGCCACCATGTCTATTTCAAAAGGGGTCTCCTCAATAGTGAGCAGCTGCCACAAGAGCACACCCACGCTGTACACGTCGCTGAGTCCGGGCAGGAGCAGCCCGCGTAGTACCTCTGGCGGTGCTGCTGCCAGGTTGCCTGGGAAAAGATCAGGATCGCACCACTCCGAGTACACATTGATATGGCGCGGCCGCTCGATGTCGCTGATCATGCGAGCCACCGACAAAGGATAACTGTACCGCTCTGCCGGAGGAAACCGCGGGTGGTGCACGTATCGCATCCGCAGCCGCTCGAGCCGCGCGCAGTGGCCGGCCGCGGCACTCCTGGCGGGCCACTCCTCCAGGACCAGGGAGTTCCCAAAATCGATGAGGCGAGCGCGACCCGACCCGTCCAACGCGCAGTTGGCCAGCGAAATGTCCGCATGGACGATACCCAGTGGCCGCAAGTACGCGACCGCCTTGCGCATCTGATCTGCCATGGCTACGCACTGCGCAACGCGGAACTCGGCGGCAGGGAAGCTGTCCATCGTGGCTCCAGCGTACTCTTGGACCAACGCCCTCAACAGGCGCCCTCTCACCAAGGCTTTTGATGATGCCCAGCTGTCGTCCACGCTCGGCGCAGCGGAAAGCAGTTGAATCACATGGTGACGGCCCTCGTGCACGGGGCCTTGATGGAGGCGAAGTAGCGCCCTGCTTTCTCTGGAGAACTGCGCCTCGACTTCATCGAAGCATCTGGAACCAAAGAGACACCGGACCATGGGGTCTGGTTCATCCGCCGCCCCATGTGATTCATAGGGGGCCACATGCGAACCCTACCCCTACCCCCCACGATTTCTGAGGGGGAGGGTGGGGCTCACTTCGTTCGGGAGCTCCCGAGCGGAGTGAACCCCACCCTCCCCCTCAGAAATCGTGGGGGGTAGGGGTAGGGTTCGCATGTGGCCCCCTAATTCACCACAGGTGGCTCAGGCGTGCGGGAAGATGTGCAAGTTGGTCCTCCGCGGTTTCGTCTCCGAGGCCTCCTGCCGCCGCCCCGCCACCTACGAGGTGTAAGGCTGTGAGGGGACGCCCCCCGAATTTCCCGTGGGGATTAAAAGGGGTATACAGGGCAGTTATAATACATAAGATTAAAAAAAATGAGATGTTTAATGCATGGTTGGTTTATGAATACATGTGTGCATGAACTCAGCGTTGTTTTTAATACTAAATCCCTGCATTTTTAATACATGATCCGCACGCGGAGCATGTATGGAAAAACGGCACTGTATGGTGTTGGTGGCTCTGCTAAAGGTGGGAGTGGGGGGGGGCCTCTTCCGCATTCCCGTGGGGGGCAAGGGGGTGATCGTACTGTGGAATTCCCAGGCGGGGCGGAGAAGGTGCACGGTTCTAGGCTGACACGTGCTGCAAAAAACACTACTACTCAATCACTTGCTGTTCTTCGAGGACTTAACTAGATGGCCCCGAATGACGTATTATGGCAGTGAAGATTGTCCAAAGTAGCCCAGTGCCACCCTCCGAGACAGTCCAGAAATATTCGCTCTCTCAAAAAAAGGCACAGCCTGGCATGCCAGAATGTCCCAGGAGTGCCCCGAAGAAGCTAAGCATACTTGAAAAGCATGTGAGTGTTTGCGAGGTTTTGAACGTCAAGTTCTCCTGCACTGATGGTTCCAGAAGCGTTCTGGCCAGGCGAAACATTGTCCAAGAGGGCCTTCAAGAAGCATCCAGAATGGCCCAAGATGCTACCCAAGGCCTCCAAGCTGGCCCGACTTGGTCCAAGATTGCTCCTTGACGTTCTAAGATGGCCCACCATTCCCCAAGACGGCCACCAAATCCTCCAACACAGCAGAATTTGGCCCAGTATGACCGCCAATATCGCCCTTGGTGCACCAAGATTGCCTCGGATTGTCCTAGATGGGCCAAGCTTGCCTGGTTAGCTTAGGGTGGCATAAAGAAGCATTACTTCTCAAAAACTTCCCCATCATATAGACATGACTGTCGTCCACTTGGGCCTCCTACGAGGGCAGAGGGCGGCGGTGATTCGCCGGACGCGTCCTTGATCGAATATCTTTAAGACGGCACGATTCTCACCGTGGCATGTCGACTGCAGCTCCCAGGCGGTTGCGTACGAGCCACGCCCCAGCTCTCGCACCACCCGCCAGCTGCTTGGCAGCACACCTGGTCCCAAAGACACGCCGAGCGTTAGATGCAATCCTTCGAGGGCTCTGGCGCGAGGAGGGCCTTGGACCTCTACTTCAACTCCTGCACCGGTCGGAGTCGTCGGGCGTGTTGGGCGTTGCTGGCTGCACGAGGAAGCTGTGCAGGTTGCTGCAGCCGCTGGTGAAATTCTTGAGCTCGAGAATGCTGCCGAAGTGGCTAGAGGCAAACTGCTCACGGATCGCCGCGGGCATGTTAAGGGAACCGTGCTCTCCAGCATGCTTACTGGGTAGGTCGTCACGGCACGAGCCCCTGAAAAAGGCCGGCTGGGCAAGGGTCTCCAAGCGGAGCCTGCGCCGCCGACCCCGCGTGTCACACCCGAGGCGAACGCCTGAGAAGCAGTAGCGGATTTGATCACGGTCTCGTCGTCGAAATTCCCCAGCACACCTCCAGGAGATGCGGCAGACCACTCCTCCACTTGGGCGACCACGACAGCAACATCGTCAAGCTTTCCGCCCACAATGCTATCTGGACTGCTCGCGTGTTCACTGACAGCATGCCAGATGATGTCCGAATCTCTCGCCGCCGCAGCTGCAACAGTCACAAGTGTCTTGGCGAGTCTGGCAACAGCCTGAGGCCCCTTTGCAGCTGACCCTGTCTCATAATGGTCTAACGCAATCTTCGCAATTGAAGGCAGCGAAACATTATCGAAAAGACCGTCACTGCCTGCAATTAGTAGGTCTCCACGTTGAAGCCGGACTGTCACGAAATCGAGCATCGATAGGTCTTCGCCTTCCTCGTCCTCAGAGCTGATCTGCGCAGGTAAATTAGCGCGGTGTCTGATGGAAGTTGTTCTGTAAAGCTGCCGCATCACCGTCATGGTCTGCCCGCCTCACGGATCCTAAAACCTGCTACCTTACTAGCTTTACCTCTATCCTCCCTGCCCCCCTACAGGACGAAGCGCGGAACAGGAGTGAAGAAGGGTAGAAAGCGAGGAACATACGCGTAAAGAAAATTAGGGCTTGCGCCACGGACGCCTAGAAATTCTGATAGCTCCTGCATGGGCCGCAACACCAAGAGCCCGCTATCTCCCAAGTTGAGCACTGAAAGTGTATTGCCATGAAGTTGTCCCAGAAGCACCGTGCAGCTTCCTGGGGAGACGAAAAATGTGTGGAATACAACTATTGACTGAGATTCTGGACTAGCTCCTACAGCATCCCCGAACAATCCCCAAAACCAACCCACGGCTTCGGTGGGACAAAAATCACGCTGCAATTCTCTCGTGATCTGCGGGGCGCTTCCGGTAGACCGTCAGACACGCACCTGGAAGATGTGTTCTGCTCTTTCTGCCTGGCCCCGATCCTTGGATGCTCTCCGCGAGAATCTCTTGGCGGGCCGTTTGCAGCGCCACCTCTGGAGGCCTCCCACACCGGGTTCGAGCAGAGGGGGTCAGAGGATCGCGCCGCATCGCCAGTGCACCACCGATGCAGCGGCGCCGTCGGCGAGGGGAAAGTCGAGATCCCCACATCGAGCCGCATCGCCGATACATCGGCGGGGCGGCGCGCTGCCACCCCCCACCTGCTGGGACCCCACCTGTGGAGGCCTGGTCCTGGGGGAACCAGAAGGTACCGACCTGGACCTCTCCCAAAGGGCGCGCCCTGACCAGGACCTCGAAGCGCCTCCAGCGGTGGCGACGAGGGCCTCCCAGGAGGCCCAAAAAGGGGAAAGCGAGGGAAAGCTAGCGGCGTCAGTACCTTCCCAGAGATCCGACATCGTGATTTGTTCCATACGCGGTCCCCGGAAGTCTCGACCCCTTCCCCAAGACCGCTTCTTCATCCCGAGTCGTTTCTTGACGGTGCCCCTGGAGGCCGACAAAACCGCCAAAAAACTCCGCCTTGCTTCTTCAGTGCGTTGGATCTCTGGGTTCTCCTCCTCCGCCACTTTCGGGGATGGACAGACCTCCCTTTAGCAAAACGTGGTCTAGTGAAAACGACCTGAGGCCCCAACCTGGCGGGCGCGGGCCTGGAAAATGACGGCCGCGGCGCCCTCTCGAGAACCGAGAACGGACAAGTCACTGATCGACGTGCCTGTTGGGGGTTCTGCCCACCCCAAAAACCGCTTCTTCATCCCGAGTCGTCTTTTGACGGTCCCGGGGCCTGGCGAGGGCCCCTGGAGGCCGATAAAACTGCCAAAAACCTCCGCCTCGATTTTTCAGTACGTTGGATCTCTGGGTTCTCCTCCTCCGCCGCTTGGGGGAGGCCTGGCGCCCTCTCGAGAACCAAGAACGGACAAGTCACTATTCGAAGCGTCACTCTTGGGGGTTCTGTGCGCCTTCTTTTTCCCTTCCTCTGTCAATTGAAGCTGTGCGCGGCCCGCTTCGCTTCGACCGGAAGAGGCTCGCTCTCGACCCGCGGATCAAAAAAAAGTCGGGGGCTCTGCCCACCCCCGCCGCTTGGGGAGGCCTGGCGCCTCCAGGCTCGGCTTCAGCATGCCCCGCGCGCTCCGGGCCACCCCCGCGCGCACGCCCCGCAGCAGCTCCCGGGCGAAGCGCCCCGCGTCCACGCCGTGCCGGGCCCAGGAGCCCGCCCCGTCGGCGACGCCGAAGGCGCTCTCGGCGTGCGAGGCGAACCTCGGAGGAGGCACAGGGCAGTTTCTAATACATAGGATGTTTCAAAATGTATGATTTCGATCCATGATTAATTAATGAATGAAATTATGCATGAAAAAAATATAGAGGGTACCGATACCGCCACCCTCGGGCTGGGCGAAAGGGGGGGCTGGCAAAGGGGGGGTTGAGAAGCAGCTCACGGAGCGGATGTGCCCGGCGCCTCCCGGCGCCCGGAGGCGGCCATGCATCGAGGAATGGGCCCCTGGGTGGGGCCGAAACCAGCTGCATGCAGCAGATTTCGTACCCCCCCCTTTCCCAATCCCCCCCTTTCGTCCGGCCCGCTGCCCGTGCCTCGCCTTCCCCTGTGTTGGGCCTCCTGGGAGGCCCTCGTCGCCACGGTCGGACTCGCCTCGGAATGCTGGTCGGAGCGCACCCTTTGGGGAGGTCCGGGGAGCAGCGGCATATCGGTGCCTTTCGGTTCCCCCAGAGAACCAGGCGTCCTCGCCCCGGTGGCCCTCGTCTTTTGGAAAGCCGCCCGCTCCGAACACGAGCCGCAGTTTCGACGATCCTGCACCAGAAACCGTCGCAAAGTTGCCAGGCGCACCTCTGCGGAACTCCTTGGCTCCACGACGGGCTCTGCACACCGCCGAGAGCATGCCGAGTACTCTGAAGGAGAAGCTCTGAGGCTAAAGCACCAGCACCTTTGGACGTTCAGCCCAAATGCTGCCTAAGCCGCGGAAACGCAAGGTTTACACGCTAACCCCAAGCGGCCGGAAACGGACGGCCTGAGCCAGAACTGCGCCGATGAAACAAATACGGCCACTCTCCTCTGAGAGAACGTCTAGTCTAAGCGGCACGTACGAGATGCGCTGATGCTACTTCTTTAGAGGCCTCCTAGATGGGGTCCGAGTAGATGGGGTCGGAGAAACTCGCCGCATCACCGATATATCCTCCGACCCTATCTGATCGGACCCCATCTAGGAGGCCAAGATTCTTACGATACCGATGACGACGCCGGTGACGACGGCAAAATGCCGAGGCTGGCACTGCCAAACGGGGGCTGAGGCACGGGCGCGGACGGGCAGGTGCAGGGGGCGCATTGAAAGAAGAATAATCAAGCGGAAGGAGGAGGAGAAGGAGGAGGAGGAGGAGGAGAAGGAGGAGGAGGAGGAAGAGGAGGAGGAGGAGGAGGGGGAGGAGCAGCAGGAGGAGGAGGAGCAGGTGGAGGAGGAGGAAGAAGAGGAAGAGGATGGGAGAGGAGGAGAAGCAGGAGGAGGAGGAACAAGGAAGAGGACGGGGAGGAGGAGGAGGACGAGGAGTAGGAGTAGGAGGAGGAGGGAGAAGGAGAAGGAGGAGGAGGGAGGAAGGGAGGAAGAGGAGAGGGAGGAGGGGGAGCAGGAGGAGGAGGAAGAGGATGAAGAGGGGCAAGGGGCCACGGCATACGGAAGATGTCATCGCACCGGTCACGATAGCCACCTTTCCCCAGTCCCTGGTCACATGAACTCCCCTCTTCGACGCCCCCGATGCACCCATCGCAGGGCGATCCATCGGCACCGAACAGATAAGCAGATCGAATCCAAAGCGCGCGCCGCATCGGGCTGCATTGGCACGGAGCCGGAATCGAACCGGACCAGCCGCGCCAGGATGCACAGATAGGGGGCCACATGCGAACCCTACCCCTACCCCCCCCTCAAAAATCGTGGGGGGTAGGGGTAGGGGGGTAGGGTTCGCTTGTGGATCCCTAACAAACGCACGGTGCAAACATCGGGCCGCCTCGAGCCGTCGGAGCATCGGCACCGAGACGGCTCGGGCGGGCGGAGGTCGACGCCGGATCGGGATCGAGGCGGACCGCGCTCGCGGCGACGAGCCACGGCGAGCGACGGCGAGGCACCACCGACCCCGCCAGAGGCCACGGCCACGCCCCGGGCGGTGCCGCCGGGGGCCCCCGGGAGCGCCACGGCCACGGCCACGAGGGGCCACGCGTCGTCTGGGGGCGGAGGTCGGCCCGGGAAGCGAGTGGGGGGTGCGGCGGAGGAGCGCGCTGGAGGTCCAGGCCGAGGCCGCACATGCGCGCGGAAGCGCCCCCTGGGTGCGGGAGTCGGGGGCGGATGAGCAGAAGAGGAAGGAAGGGAGCGGAAAGAAGGATGACTCCTCCTCCTCCTCCTCCACCTCCTCCTCCTCCTCCTCCTCCTCCTCCTGCTCCTCCTCTCCTCCTCCTCCTCCTCCTGCTCCTCCTCCTCCTCCTCCTCCTCCTCCTCCTCCTCCTCCCTCTCCTCCTCCTCCGCCTCCTCCCCCTCCTCCTTCTCCTTCTTCTCCTGCTCTTCCTCCGCCCCCTCATCCTCCTGGAGAGGGAGAGAGGAAGAGAAAGGAGGAGCGGGAGAGCCGCGGTCGGGGAGCTGGATGAGGGCCAATGTCACATATGAAGCTCAGGATCGCGAGCCATTATTTCGTGGAGCGATGAAGAATGTCTCACAGTCGCGCATCTCCTCAGGATAATCCTGAATCATTGCCTCCACTGTTAAGCCTTGAGCAAGGCTGCCTTAGGGCGGCGACCTTACGCGACGGCTTCCTCAGGCCGCTGACAGGGCTCACAGCACAAAAAAGAGGGCGCTCATAGGCGCGACCTTACGCGGGCAGCTTGCGTCCGGTGTGCGCGCAGTCGCGCTGATAGGCTAAACGATATCAGCCAGCGCAGACTCCAAATAGATCAAAGACTGAGATGAAGTGGACTGGAGCGGACTGAAGCTGACTGGACTGGAATAGACTGGACTGTACCGGGATAGACTCTACTTCGCTCTGCGCTACTCTTCTTTACTATACCCGACCATCTACCCTACTCTACTCTACCCTGCTCTGTTCCACCCGAGTCTACTCTACCTGGCCTTACCCGACCCTACCCGAAGCTATTATACTCGACTCTACTCTACTCTACTCATACTTAGCACTACTCTATTCCTACTATGATCTGCGATCGTATACTCTCCTATACTCCACTCTACTCGACTCTACTGTATCATAGGCGACTCTACTCTACCATCTACCCTATTATACTCAACATTGTTATAAAATGCTCTACCCTACCATGACCTACTTCACTATACTAGAATATTATAGATTCGAATGTATTCATACCCTACTATATTCCTACTCTACTCTGATATACTATGCTCGACTCTACTGAACTGTACTCTACTCGACTCTATTCGGCTCTACTCTGTTGTGCTCGACTCTACTACTGGTCTCCTCTACTCCACTCTGCTCCACTCTATTGTACTCTTCTCTACGAAATTACCTTTCTAAGTTAGACGATTGTTGAACGATTGTTGGGACGCAATTGGAATAGCCACAGGAAACCATTAGAATAGCAGACGAAGCCATGCGGGCACAGAGGAAGCCATGCGGATAGCAGAGAAAGCCATGCGGATACAGAGGAAGCCATGCGGATAGTGTTGACGATTGTTGGACGATTGCTGGGACGCAAAAGAAGCCATTGGAATAGCAGAGGAAGCCATGCGGATACAGAGGAAGCCATGCGATTAGCGGAGGAAGGCATGCGGATACACAGGAAACTACGCAGAGTGTCTGGCTATTACAAAAGGCAAAATAGAGAGGGGGGCAGTGGACCAGCTCTCTATGCAGTGTGCTAGGGCTCGTATAGGCAAGCCGATTTGGAAAACAAACAAAATGCGTGCAATGAAGCCCCCGTTTCAAAGCCGTTCCTTTGGATTTAGCGAGTGTCCCAGACCTCCAACGGCACGATGCTTGCCCAGTCGCCGACCCGCAGACCTCTCGGCCCATCTCCAAGGCCAGTGTTGTATCCCGACTCGATTGTTGACGGCTCGGGGGCCCGGAAGCCAGAAGCGGCCCCCCGTCGCCGAAAACGGGGGATAAAAACCTGGCGTGGTCTTGCCGAGCCGTCAGGAGGCATGGGGAGCAGCAGCAACAGGTGACAGGCCCAGGCATCAGACCGCTCGACTTGCTCGCGGCATGGGCCCCTGGACCTCCAGAGCCCCTCCCTGGAGTCGGTCTTCCGTCCTGGGCGGCCTGTTGACGGTTCTGCGGCCCTGAGCTGGCCCTCGTGGGGCCCCACGTTGCAACGACGACAACACACTCATCGTCTCGATTTGATTCCGAGCTGCCAAGTCGTCTGGTTTGGAAGCAAGGCACGGGTAGGGAAAAAAAATGTGAGATGCCCAGCAGCACATGTTGTCCAAAACCGGCAACGGCCGCTGTTGGGCAGGCGGTGTTCTGTCTCAAGTGGGCAACCTCCGCGGCGACGCCGACAGCGAGCCCTGTTCATATTGAACAGGAACTGATGTCGGCCTTCGCACCCTTTCAATCCGTACCCACTCCGCTCGTGTCAATATACTACTCCCTGGAACTCTCCCGGGCCGCGTTCTGACCAGAATGGCGAGGCGAATCCAGTCGTGGCGACGAGGGCCTCCCAGAAGGCCCAAGAGAACGAAAACGATGCAAGGGTAGCGGTACCCAGAGATCCGATGTCGTGGTTCTTCCAATACGGGGTCCCGGGAGGTCACGACCCTTTCCCCAAGGCTGGGTCTTCATCCTGAGTCTTTTTCGACGGTCCCAGGGCCCAGCGAGGGCCGCTAGAGGCCGAAAACTGCAACAAAAAACCTCCGCCTTGATTTCTGCCAATACGTTGGGTCTCTGGGTATGGGTACCTTTCTCCTCCTCTCTTCGTATCCACTTCGCTCGTGCCGGTCCGGGGAGCGGGCGGGCCCAGGCGGGCGGGTCCTGCCAGGCTCGGCCCGCCGCCGTGGCCGGCGCCGCAGGGCTCCGCGTAGGCGGCGGAGGCCTCGCGGGGCGGCCGAGGCGGGCGGCGGCGAGAGGGAGGGGCAAGGGAGGTGAAGGGGGGGAGGAGGAGGAGGAGGAGGAGGAGGAGGAGGATGAGGAGGAGGAGGAGGAGGAGGAGGACGAGGAGGAGAAGGAGGAGGAGGAGGAGGAGGAGGAGGAGGAGGAGGAGAGAAGGATGAGGAGGAGGAGGAGGAGGAGGGAGGAGGAGGAGGAGGAGGAGGAGGAAGATTGCAATGTAGTGATGATGCCCTTGAGGGTAGGCATAACCCTTTTGAATCAAATGGGGCATTTGGGCTCTCCCACCCTTGAAATAGGTGCTCGATGTTGACACCTGGTACTGGTGGGCGATGCGTGTACCGCATGTCCTGTGGCAGCCACCTCTGCCTCGTAGCACCGTGACCGAGGGGGTCAACGCATGTGGGTCCGGACGTCCCATCAGGAGGGGACGACGAATGATGGAACCAAGCATGATTTGTGACAGAAATGTGTATGTGTGAGCCACATGCTTTGCCAACATTGGTGCCCACAGAATGCACCAAACTGAGTTCAAGCACCAATGTGCGTTCCCAGGGGGGGCAAGGTTTGTCCGCCCCACAGGGGGTGCAAACATACCTCGGACTTCAAATGACCCGACAACGTTTCGCACACTTCGGTCCTCGTGGGATGCCGGTGGAGTTTGTGCGGAATATGTCCGAGGCATAGGTGGCCGCCTCCCAAGGGTGACACCAGCGGGTCGGTGTTGAGGAGCCCTGTGGCAACCTATACGGTCGTCTCCTGGGTCCCTGGATGGGGGCCTGCGATAATGGACGTACCCAACTATGACCCCGTCCAAGTCCAGGGCAGCCCCACTCACGAGGTCTAACGGCCACGCGGCGAAGACGAGATTCCGATGTTGGCACGTGTTCTAAGAGTGCACGTTGCACGAGTTGTAAGTTCGATTTTCAACGAACGGAAAAAGCGAGATACGAGTGATGACGTTCTGG